CGCGCATCAGCTCAACCTTCAGCCCCGGGTCTCCTTGCCAGAGACCTCCCCCGCCTTGCGATGGACCGGGAAGGTTGGCGATGCGTCTGCGTTTCGGGTCTGGGGATCTCGGGCGTTTGTCCACGACTTGTCTGCGGACAAGCTGTCCCCCCGTGCTGTTCCCTGCGTCTTCCTTGGCTTCCCCCCTGACGCGCCTGGGTGGTAGTTTTACCACCCCACCTCGCGCCGTGTTCTGTCCTCCCAAGACGTCACCTATGATTAGTCGGTGCCTTACTACCGTCTCTTCCCCTACCGCACTGCGCCCCTCCCCCCGTTGCCGCTCTTCCTTACACTAGGTCCTCCCCCTGTAGACCCCCTCCCCCCTCAGGGTCCTGCCCCGTCAGGTGTGGCCCAGGTAGACGCAGTCGAGCATGTCGAGGTAGCTGTTGACTGTGGTGCTGCTAGAAGTGCTGAGACTGGGGTTGTTGAGTCTGGGGGTGCTGGGTCTGGGGGTGCGGAGCCTGGGGGTGCGGAGTCTGGAGGTGCCGAGCCAGGGGGCGCTAGGTCTGCTCGTGTGGCCGCCGGCGGTGCTTCGTCGAGGTGGGAGCCACTCTCTCCACAGGAGCTGCGCGAGTGGTTTGCCCGACGCTGGAGACGTGCTGCTGAGACTTGGGGTGCTGCAGGGGCTACTGGAGTTGGTCCTGCTGGAGCTTCTGGGGGTGTTCGCGCTGGTGTTTCTACTGGCCCTGGTGCGTCTGGGGGTGCTGCTGAGGGTGCTGGAGCTGACGGTCCTACTGGAGTTGGTGCTAGTGGAGCTGGAGTAGCTGGGGGTGTTGGCGCTGGCGATGCTGCTGGCGCAGGTGCTTCTGAGGGTGCTGGAGTTGGCGCTGTTGGAGCTGGAGGTGCTGCTGGCGCTGGTGCTGCCGCTTGGGGTACTTGTGCCGTCCTTGCTGGTTCTGGAGGCGTTGAGCAGCCGAGGCTGTACTTCGTTCCGCTCTTGGAGCAGGTTCTTGGTCTCCCGCCCTCTCCTGGTCCTGTTCCTTCCTTAGAGTGTCCACAGCCTGTCCAGTCGCAGTCACAGTTACAGCCCGCCTCCCCTCTACCTGCTCCTTCTCCCTACACTGGTCCTACTGGAGGTCTTTCTAAGCGTCGTGCGCCTGCGTCTCGTCCTGAGTCGCCTGTTCCTGCTGCTCGCACTAGTGGTCGTACTGCGCGTCCGCGTCCTCCTGCGGTCCCCGTCACACACCAGATGGCGCTGCGTCCTTCCACTGCTCCTCTGCGTGTTCCGTTGCCGTCTCCTCCAGAGTCCTCTCTTTCTACTCTTGCTGACCCGGAGTCTGACTCCCTTTGTGCTGCTAGTCCTTCGGTCACGCGTCTCCTTGCTACTGTTGTCACTGACCCTTCCTTTGAGTGCATTGCTGCGTCTGCCCTAGTTGCTGAGCTTGACGACTTCGGTGCTCGCTGTCGTCTTGACTACGCTGCCATTCTCATTGGTGAGTCTGAGTCTGTCTGTCCTTCGTCCGTCGGGGGTGGGTGTGCTCTTAGCACGGACGTCCTTGAGGACAGGCAGGAGGAGTTCTAGTGCTTTGCGGCTGCTTTGCCCCATCTCGAGTCCACGCTGATTGCCCCTGAGGGAGACCCGGATGCACCAGACATCCCGACTCCTCGATCGTACGCTGAGGCGATCGAGGGTCCCTACTCCTCTCAGTGGCAGTCAGCCATGGACGCAGAGATGGCTTCGTGCAAGTCCACAGGCACCTACGTCGACGAGGTTCCCCCACCTGGGGCGAACATCGTCAGTGGCATGTGGATTTTCAGGGTGAAGCGGCCTCCGGGTTCTCCGCCTGTCTTCAAGGCGCGTTACGTGGCTCGAGGCTTCAGTCAGCGGCAGGGAGTTGAGTACTTCCAGACCTTCTCTCCCACCCCGAAGATGACCACTCTTCGGGTGCTGCTGCACATAGCCGCTCAACGCGACTACGAGCTTCACTCTCTTGACTTCAGTACAGCTTTCCTGCAGGGCAGCCTGCACGAGGAGATCTGACTACGCCACCCGCCTGGCTTCACTGGGTCGTTTCCCCCTTGTACCCAGTGGAGCCTCCGGCGGCCAGTCTACGGTCTCCGCCAGGCACCCCGTGAGTGGCACGACACACTGAGGACTACACTTGCGGCTCTTGGGTTTGCTCCTTCTACAGCCGACCCGTCGCTGTTTCCGCGCACCGACACCTCTTTGCCGCCGTTCTACATCCTCGTGTACGTCGACGACTTGGTCTTTGCCACTGGTGACACTGCTGGACTCGCCCACGTGAAGTCCGAGCTGCAGAAGAGACACACGTGCACAGACCTGGGTGAACTGCGCAGCTACCTTGGCTTGCAGATCACCCGGGACAGAGCACAGCGCACCATTACCCTGACTCAGTCACACATGGTGCAGCAGGTCGTTCAGCGCTTCGGCTTCACGTACTCCTCGCCTCAGGCCACTCCTCTGTCTACTCGCCACTTGCTCTCAGCTCTGCCTTCGGATGAGTCCGTAGAGTCGAGTGGCCCGTACCCAGAGCTTGTTGGCTGCCTCATGTACCTGATGACCTGCACACGACCTTACCTTGCATACCCTCTTAGCATCTTGGCACGCTATGTTGCTCCTGGGAGACACCGACCAGAGCACATGGCTGCAGCGAAGAGGGTGTTGCGCTACGTGTGCAGTACGTCGGGCATGGGGCTAGTGCTTCGAGGGCGACGTCGAGTGGTCCTCACAGGTCACGCTGACGCTTCTTGGGCTGACGACCAGGCTCTGCAGCGGTCGTCACAGGGTTACACCTTCAGCCTTGGCTCCGGCTCTGTTTCGTGGCGGTCTACCCGCTCGTCCTCTGTTCTCAGCTCCAGCTGTGAGGCTGAGATCTACGCAGGGGCCATGGCTGCACAGGAGCTACGCTGGCTCACCTACTTGCTGACTGACCTAGGAGAGCCGCCTCGTTCTCCTCCAGTTCTGTACGTAGACATTAAGGCCATGCTGGCCTTGTGTCGGGAGCACAGACTGGAGCTCAGAACGAAGCACATTGCTCTCCGCTACTTCCTGGCTCGTGAGCTGCAGCAGCGTGGCCAGCTTCGCCTCACCTACGTGGCCTCTGAGGCCAACACTGCTGATATCTTCACTAAGGCCCTTCCGCCTTGTGATCATCAGCGCTTCTGTACTTTGCTAGGTCTTGTGCCTACCTGGCCTCACTTGCTCACTTCTTGATCTTGTTTGTACTGTACTCTTTCTATACCTGCACTTGCTTGTTTACCTTTACATATATGATCTTGCATGTGAACTGGCCTTGTGGCCTTGCTCTTGTGCTCGGACAATGTGGTGACTTTGTGATCCACCCTGAGCTTGCTTTGCTTTGCTTGACTGGTCTTGTGACCACTTGTTCTCCCCCACTTTGCCTATGGGGGTGTGTCAGAACATTATAGCTTATACATCTGTGTAGGCTGTAGTGGGGTAGCCCATAAGGGGTACAACCCAATTAGGGTTAGTACTTGTACCCAACTGTTTCATAGTTCAATCATTCTCGTTCTAAATTTCACAGAAGGGTGATTGGTGCGTGCGGTCTGCCCGAGGTATGGCTGCGCTGCTCGGAGCTCTGCACGGAGGATCGGATCCCTCCCTTCAAGCAGCTGAGATTTTTTTTCGGCGTGCAGCAGGGGGTGATGCAACAGCAAGAAAAGTGGTCAGAGGAGTGGGGGAAAGCGATTGATTGGAAAAGAGTCATCAGGGTGCGGGAATCTGCGGTGCTTCCGAATCGAGCCCGTGACGTCCTGCTTCGCCTGCATTGTCGTGACCTCCAGGGCTGGGTAAGGTTGAAATTCCTCGAGCGGGTGGCATGCCCGCAATGTGGAGGGGAAGAGACAGCAGAGCATTGTTTGTTCAGCTATCCTCATATTCAAATTGTGGTTCAGGGGCTTCTGAAAGCCCTCCGCTTGATCAACCCGGACAGGAAAATTACTTCGTTGGGGGATCTTCTGTATCAGAAGGAGAGCTCCGGTTTGGGCTTCTCCGGGGCAACGATCACTGCCATCGCCTTGCACAAGATATGGGTGGAGATGTACGACACTGCCTTTGAGAGAGGGCGGTTTCGGTCCAGAAGGGTGGTGCGAAAAATTGCGCCAGCTTTCTACACTCACATGAAAGTTTACCTTCGGGCAAATAAGGGAAGGAAACGGGCAGGAGTCATGCTGGGCAGGGCCTCAGATATTAGGAAAAAAACCCTGAAATTCCTGATTTTGGCAGTCGTTTTTTTACCTACACTGAAAAATCAGTGTTGGGATTTTTGTGGGACTGATCTTTTAGCCTTTTTTGTTAGGCCACACTGAAATTTCAGACTTTTTTTCCCAAGTACACTGATTCCACAACGTTGTAATGAAACTACCACTGAATGCAATTCTGACTTGTTCCGTGTGAATTTGCCCGCAATTACCGGGAATCTCAGATTCCTGCGGTGCCAGCACTCCATTGGGCAGTTTCGCTGCAGCATAAGCGTTGGCTAATCAGAATGTGGCAACCATGTGGTGCTGGAGGGCTGCGAGGGTTCCTGCACGGTTGACTGTGCTGGCGAGCTCTGATGGTCCCGTTCCCTCCAATCTAATCTCTCTTGTTTCTTTTCCTCCTGTTTCTCTCTCCCTCCCTCTCAGCCAGATTCCTCTCGTGCTTTCTCGTCTGCACTATTACATGGCGCCACCAGCACCAGAATCGGCGGGCTGTCTGGAATCGAACCCATCGCGAGCGCCGCCGAACCTCCTCTAGTCTCGCCGAACACATCGCTCCCGTTCGACGCGATCCGCAGCGCATGCGTCGTCGAATCGTAGCGGGCCTGCGAGATGCCCGTCGGCGTCGCAGGCCCGCTACGACTTGACGACGCGTGGTTTTTCGTGCTAATGGCGACGACCGAAGGCTGCCTCGTCGCCAGCACGAACCGCGGTTGAAAGGCCATCTGCGTCGCGGGCGGCGCGCATAGCGTCGTGCTGCGCGACGGCATGACCCGCGCATGACCCGCGCGCCCTCCGTCCATTCCCCCGCTCCCTTTACCCCGCACTCCGTCCACTCCCTGTCTCCCCCGGTCGTTCCCCCCCCAACCATGCCAGTCTTCCCTCCTCTCTCCCTCCTGTTCTCTCTTTCCCTGCCTCACCCTGCCTGTCAATCAGGTTCCTCCCCCAAACCCTGCCCCTGCAGCTTCAACGTGTATGTGTCGCAAGCAGAAGTGAAGACGGGGTGTGTGCTGCAGCAGAGCACTGTCACGTACTGGTGTCCCAAGCTGAGGATGAGAGAGAAAAACCAAAGGCTAAGGGCAGTGATGATAGCACGGCTGGTGATGATTCATAAGGCATGTTAGCTTAGCAATGTTTCGGAAGGCCGCTACTGACCTATTAATTAAAATAGAGATCTCTAGTAATAACAGCCTTTTATATTATTGAACACTGATGCATCAGCCTTTTTTCAAAGGCAACACTGATATTTCAGGCTTTTTTTTTTAGGAACACTGTCAATCAGGGTTTCTACATAGGGGTACCCTGATGGGTCGACGACCCTAAAAGTGAATCTGAGGCCTTGATGCTGGGGCCGGGGCAACGTTCTATCATGGGGCGGTTGTGTCCGTACAAATTTTGTCTCATGAGCAGAGTATGTGACAGCTCGGCTAAATCGCTTGCGTCGACCAGTGGCTTCACCTCCATCTGTGCCAATCCGCGCACGATTTTCCGTCCCCCATAAGATGTCAGGATGGGTATGACGGCAGGCTGCTGTCTAGGCCCATCAGCTACTGTTACGCCCGTTAATGCTTGTATGCGCTATGATAGTGCATCTTGCATTGCCAAAAAAAAAAAAAAAAACAGCCACAGGGAGGTCATCAACCTATATGAAGATTTATATGCTTACACTAGATACCTCGTTGGGGTTTCAACCTAGGTTAGGAGTTTGGTGATTCGTCATTTCTTAGCCCTTCCTGCTCATATTCTTTGTATCAGCTGTACTCAGATAACAATGTAAAACTAATCGGTTCACTCGATAAAGCGATATGTTTGACCGAGCACTTCCCTTGTTTGAAGCGCCTAGAAACTCCTAAAATCGATTACTTGTCCATCATCCGCCGCATCCTTGTCTCGCCGTTACGCCATCAACCAACGACTCCCCATCGTCGCCCGGCTGCATCCACCCAAATCCGGCGCTTCGGCGCCCATTCCTCTGTTTCGTCTCATCTCCTCCCTCCCATCCCAGACACACGCCCACCTCCCCCTCGCGGTACCCTAATTCTATCGCCGCGCCCCTCGCAACGCCACCCTCCCCGTCTCCTCCGCGCTCCGCCGGCATCGTTGCCTCCATAGGTCCCTTGGTGCACGCACCCCCTGAGCTAATTCGCATCCTCCTCCTCTCGCCTCCCTCCTCTCCTCTTTCAAAAGCTTCTCACTCGCCGCGATCCACGCCGCATAAGGCGCGCGCGCGCAGATGCCGCCGTACGAGGTGCTGGTGATGGCGAAGGCGGCGGTGCAACGGCGGGAGCTCGCGGATCTTGTGCGAGGGCTGGCGCAGCGAGTTATCAGGTGCGTGCGACGAACGATAAGTTGCGTGCGACGGGCGAGCAGGTGCGTGCGACGAGCGATAAGTTGCGTGCGATGGGCGAGCAGGTGCGTGGCGAACGATTAGGTGCGTGCGACAAGTGATCAACTGTGCGACTGGGCTAGCGTGATGGTGGTAGAATTGGCGGGACAAGTGTTTGGTTCAGCGGCACGAGGCATCACACACGTGGGATGAGCGATCGCATACTTTCACTGCACGGGACAAGTGTTTGGTTTCTCTAAAAATATGTCAACGATTCTGCCCCTTGCACTCTCGATCTCCTTGCTCGCTCCTCCCACCTCTTCCACTTCTCAACAGCCATCGTTCTCCCGCCTCTCCACCACTCTCCACTGTCCCCTCCTGCTCCCAGTTCCTCCACCACCCTCTCCTCCCTGCTGCCTCTCTCCCTGCCATACCCACTTTCTCCTCTGGTTGTCTGCGCATGTTGCCCCACCCTCCCCATCACTTTCCCCCTGCCCCCCCCCCCCCCCTCTGCAGTAAGTTCAACATGTTGGTGATAGCCGTGTTAATGGTTGCATGCTGCAATGGCCGCCCCTGTCATAGAGAGTCAACAACCAATCTAGATGCACATTTTCTCTTAACCACTCTTCCTGCCTGGTTTCTCCACCTCCGCTTTCCCTCTCCCCTCTACCCTCTCCACTCTCCCCTCTCCCCTCTTCCCTCTCCATTTTTTTCTCTCCCTCTCCCCCGTCCCATATCCCCTCGACCCTCCGTATCCCCCATCTCTCATCGCCCCTCGCCCCCCACTCACCCCTCTCTCTCCCCCCTCTCCTCCGCTTCGCTCCTCACCCCTCGCCCCTTGCCAATCGCCCCTCACTCACCCCTCGCAACTCAACCTCTGCGCAGTGACGGCGGGGTGGTGATGGCAGTGAAGTCGTACGGCACAGTGCGCCTGGCATACGACGTCAAGAAGCGAGACGGCTGGCACCAGCAGGTGAGATGGCTAGCACTGCCGTGCCCACGCCGTGCTGCCCTGTCACCATGGCTTGGGGTTTGGGGGTGATGGTGGTGAAGTCGTACGGCACAGTGCGCCTGGCATACGACGTCAAGATGCGCGACGGCTGGCACCAGCAGGTGAGCAGTGGGCACTGCTGTGCTGCCGACACCGCGATGCCCTGCTGTCTTATGCCAGGCCGAGGGAGACGTCTGGCACTATCGGGAAGGAGAGGGCATGGGGGAAGGAGAGGGGCAAGGGGGAAGGAGAGGAGCAAGGGGGAAGGAGAGGGGCAAGGGGGAAGGAGAGGAGCAAGGGGGAAGGAGAGGGGCAAGGGGGAAGGAGAGGGCATGGGGGAAGGAGAGGGGCAAGGGGGAAGGAGAGGGCATGGGGGAAGGAGAGGGGCAAGGGGGAAGGAGAGGGGCAAGGGGGAAGGCAAGGGCATGGGCATGGGGGAAGGAGAGGGACTAGGGGGAAGGAGAGGGGCAAGGGGGAAGGAGAGGGGCAAGGGGGAAGGTGAGGGGCAAGGGGAAAGGAGAGGGGCAAGGGGGAAGGAGAGGGGAAAGGAGAGGGGCAAGGGGGAAGGAGAGGGCATGGGGGAAGGAGAGGGACATCGGGTGGGAGAGGGGCAAGGGGGAAGGAGAGGGAGAGAGGGACAAGGGGATGAGAGGGGCAAGGGGGAAGGAGAGGGACAAGGGGAGGAGAGGGAGGGGGAAGGAGAGGGACAAGGGGGAAGGAGAGGGACAATGGGGAAGGAGAGGACCATGGGGGGGTGGGGTGGAGGTTGGAGGGGGGGTGGGGCGCAATCAAGGGCTAAGGAAAGCATATCAACAGGATCAAGGAGTTTGGGACTTGGGATTATAAAGGTTTAGGATTTTGTAACCCTAAACTCTGCCCGCTGCCTCCCGTTTGAAGTAGTCCAGTTCGGATGATTTCGAAACCTGCCTCCTCCTTTGTGCGCTCCTCCCATCGTCAGCCCTTTTGCTGCTGTTAATTATGTTCCCTTCCCATCATGACGTTCCTTCCACCGCTCCCCTTCTTTTCCACCACAGGGAAGTTGTTGCTTGAACCGAATGTATTTGTCACCATTCATAATTCGTTTCCAATTTGCTCCCTCCCTTTGTTCCCTTCGTATCCCTTAAGCCCAGGTAGAGCAGTCATCATGCCTTCCATATGCTACATGTGTAGGCAAAGCAGTTGCTACAGCTCCCACCTGGTCTGCTCCCTGACAAACTCCTCACAACTCCCACCCCGTCTGCTCACCCCAATGCTACATGTGCTGGCAAAGCAGTTGCTGTATGTTTAATCCTTCTAACACAAACTCTCATCCCCTCCCTTGTTCCCCCTCCTCTCACTCCAACCGTCGTCCCTTAAACCCTAACCCCAAAACCTCCAGGGCCAGGTAGTGCAGTTGGAGGTGAACGCGCCGGCATCGCTAGCCCAGCAGCTGGAGCACCTGAATAAGGACGAGAGGCTGCTGCGCTGGCTGCTGCTCAAGAGCCGGCCTAAGAGGTGGATGGTGTGGCGGGGAGAAGCCCTGCAGAGCACCACCACACCTCCCTCTCAGTTTACGTGACTGCTTACTACACTTGCAGCTGCCTCTGCTTCTGCTGCTACTTCGCATCTTGCACCTCTGCAAGCTCTGATGTTGGTGTGGTGGAGCTGCTGCTGCTGCTGCTGCTGTGGGGAATTTTGATGTTGGGTCTTGGGTGGATAGCTAAAAATGCGATATTGATTGGTGTTTGAGTAGATGTGGCTGTGGTGGGTAGTTTTGGAGCAAATGATACTGAGGGCGTATCTCAGGGTTCGGGTCATGGGCACTGTTCCGGGCATCCGCGATTTGCGCATGACCCGAAGTGGGCTGCCGAGCCGCGTGCGGCCCCAGCTTTGGGTCAATGTGCAGGTGTTGGGCGACTGACGTGCACGACCCAGGCCCAACCAATCACCTGGTCATGCGATTCTGGTTTTACTGCCATCTCTTAGGCGGACGTCAGTCGAGTGTCACAAGTGGGCAATGTCCCACGCCCTACACCTCTGCACCCAACCACTCAGCAAATTGACCCCCCTGAACCTCGATGTGCCTAACATTTCCCGGGTCGCCCTCCCAACATTTGGGGACTTAGGCTGGGAATTCTGACGATTGTGTTTTTTTCGGTGGGTGTCGCGTGGTTTTGCGTGCGTGTCGCTAATGATCTGTCGAACTGTTTTGTCAACCCTCCATTGGATGCGACTGTTGTGGCGGGCGTGATTTTGGCGCGAAAACCCACGCGGCAATTTGGGGGTCGCATGCGTTCCCTAAACCCGAAGTAGCGTTTTATGTTGTTTGGGTCATCCGCAAATCGCGGATGCCCGGAACAGTGCTCATGACTGGAACCAGAGATGCTCACATTTTTTATTCTATGTTACGGGTGCAATCGAGTGAGCGAACGAAGATTGCACTATCGAAGCAAGAGTACAATGAGCGAAGGCATGAGCGAAGGATTATATAGCGAAACTACAGTGGTAACGGTAATGGACTGTGGTTTGTCGCGCGACGGGCCTGGGACTGAGGTTGGGAGAAGTGTCGAGGCGGAGGTCCGGAGCGCGGGTTACCGCCGAGCCGTGAGGTCGGGGTGCGACATGCGAAAAATGGCGGGCGGATTATTGATGCGAGTAGTAACGGTGCTGACTGAGGTGCTATAGTGATGTACGCGTTGAGCGGGGATGCGAAGTAAGGAAAAGGAATTTTCCTTACACTACCCCCCTCCCCAAGGAGGCCCCTCTTACGAGAGCGCATGGACGTCGCGGAAATTTCGGCTTCGCAGGTACTCGGTGAAGACAGGGTGGTTCTCGATTTTATCCAGGGGGACCCAGTTGTCTTCTGTGGGCGTTCGGTCCTTCCAGCGAATTAGGAACTCGATCCTTCGGGCTCCCCGAGGGTCGCGGACTCGGTGGCTGAGGATTTTTCCAGGGGTGATGATTGGTTCGGTTGGGGGGCGTGTCATGCTGGCTGGGCGATTTCGTGGCAGTTGGCTCGTGGATGGGATGTAAGGGCGAAGTAGGCTGACGTGGAATGACGGGCTGACGTACCAGTCAGCAGGGAGGAGGAGGTGGGCGGTGACGGGTGTGATCATGTGGCTGATGCGAAATGGCCCACAATATCGGGGGCGAAGTTTTGGAGTGATGGGCAAGCGGAGGTTCTGAGTATCGAGTAGTACTAGGTCGTCTGGCTGGTAAGTGACAGGTCGGCGGTGGCGATCGGCGTTGCGCTTAGCGATGATGTTGGCTTTTTTAATTGCGTCTGTTGCCCTGGTCCGTGCTGCTTGCAAAATCTCGGCGAACTGTTGTGCGCGTGGGACTGGATTGTCGGGATTTGGGGTCATGGGTACTGTTGGGTCCTGTCCGTAGTTCAGGTAAAACGGTGGCTGTTGGGTCGTGGCGGAGGGCGAATTGTTGTACGCGAATTCAATGAGTGGCAGTTGCTGTTCCCACGTGTTCGGGTCGTCGCACGTGGCCCGGATGAGCTGCTCCATGGTCTGGTTTGTCCGTTCTGTCTGTCCGTCCGTTTCGGGGTGGTACGAAGAACTGAACTGTAGTCGCGTGCCAAACTACTGCCACAGGTTCCGCCAGAAGTTGCTGGTGAATTTCGTGTCGCGGTCGCTGATAATTGCCGATGGTATCCCGTGGAGGCGAACAACGGTGGCGATGAAGAGGCGGGCTGTTTCTTCGGCTGTGATTGATTTCTTGCAAGCTGCGAAATGTGCCATTTTCGTCAGTCGATCGACGACGACCAGGATCGCGTCGTTCCCACTCGCCCCGGCCGGTAACCCCGTGACGAAATCCATCATCACCTGCTGCCAAGCACGCTCTGGGGGTGGAATCGGCTGCAACTGTCCTGCCGGCCGCTTCCGTGATGATTTCATGACCTGGCAGGTGGGACACGACGCCACGTGTCGTTGGATGTCGATCAACATTTCTGGCCAGTAATAATACCGCTGCAGCTGCTGCCGTGTTTTTTCTACCCCAAAATGTCCCGAGGTAACTCCGTCGTGTGCCTCCTGTAACAGTAATTCCCGTAGTAGTGTATACCCGGGTACCCAAATGCGGTCGGTCCCGGCTTTTACGTAATAGACCCCTCGTGCTGCTGCAAACTGCTGCGAATTGCCTCCGGTGAAGAATGGGTCTGTTTGATATCCGTGGGTAAATAGTCCTGTCAGTAGTGGGCTAGTCTGGGCGAGTAGTATTGCGTGGATTTGGGCAGTGGGGCGGGTCAGTGCGTCGGCAATGTTGGAAGCTCCCTTTTTGTAGGTGACCGTGTAATGGAAATTCGACTCTAGAAAGTCGAGCCAGCGGATCTGTCGTGGGTTGAGGTGGGGTTGTGCGCGGAGATACTGTAGTGATCGGTGGTCTGTCCGTACTGTCACGTCTGCGCCGGTCAAGTAACAGCGCCACACTTTGAACGCATGCACGATCGCAAGCATTTCGCGATCGTGTATCGGGTAATTCTTCTCAGGTGGGTGCAGCTTTCGTGATTCGTATGCGATGGGCTGTAGGCCGTTCCCGAAATCCTGTAGCAGTACGGCTCCGATGGCGATGTCGCTTGCGTCAGTAATGACTTCGAATGGGCGGTGTGGGTCGGCAATGCGCAGGACAGGCGGTGAACAGAGAACATTTTTCAGGGTAGAGAAGGCAGCATGCTCGTTCTCCCCCCACGTAAAAACGACCCCCTTCCGCAGCAGATCCGTCAGTGGGGCAGTTAAGCGTGCCATGTTGGGGACGAACCGACGGACGTAATTAACAAAACCCAAAAAACTCTGCAGCTCCGTGATGTTTGTGGGGGGGTGCCAAGCTTTGACCGTATCCAGCTTCTTCGGGTCAATCTCAACCCCAGCCTCCGAAATAACGTGCCCCAAAAATTCTAACCTATCCTGAAAGAACTCGCACTTAGACCCCTTGGTCAATAACCGATGCTCCTCTAAAATTTTAAACACTGCTTCCAGGTCCGCTAAATGCTGCTGCTTATCGCGGCTGTAGACGAGAATGTCGTCGAGGTAGACTATCACACACTTATCTAAAAGTGGTTTAAACGCCTCGTTCATGGTCATCTGGAATGTTGCAAGTGCGTTGGTCAGCCCGAAAGGCATCACGGTATACTCGAACGACCCGTACCTAGTCCTAAAAGCTGTCTTGGCGCAGTCCGATGGTTCGACTCTAATCTGGTGGTAACCTCCCCGTAAATCTATCTTCGAGAACACCCGTGCTGTTCGCAGCTGGTCGATCAGTTCGTCGGCGCGGGGAATGGGGTATCGTGACTTCACTGTAACCCTGTTGAGCGCTCGGTAATCGATGCACATGCGAAACCCTCCATCTTTTTTTGGTGTGAATAGTATCGGTGCGGCGAACGGGGACGAACTCGGTCGGATAAACTGCTTCGCTAACAGGTAATCTAACTGCTTCCTCAGTTCGTCGAGCTCCGGCTGTGTCAGTCTGAACTGGCGCTGTACAGTTCGCTGTGCCCCCGGCTCTAACTCTATCCTATGGTCGTGCGCCCGCTGAGGTGGCAGTCCTTCCGGTAAGTCGTCGGGGAAAATCCCCGGGTACCGTTTCAATAGCTCCTGTAGTTCAGGCGGTACCGCTGTCAGCAGTTTCTGAAAATCACTCGGCTGCTCAGCTTCTCCTACCACTGCGATGTCCACTGCATACACGTCAGCTCCAGCGGCGACTGCCCGTTTCATTGTTATGGCGTTGACGTGGACCGTCGACGACTCAGGCGACTGCCAGCGTGGTAGTTCGACCCAGTTACCACTACTTCGCACAGTGCAGCTGCCTGTCGTCCAGTCGATTCTCGGGTTGTAACGTCGCAACCAATCACGTCCTAGTAAAATGTCGTGCCCATCCAGTGTCGTCGCGAGCATTTCTTGTGTAAACCCGAAGTTCCCTCCGCAACGAACTTTTACTCTCTCCACCTTCTCCCGTATGGCCAGCGGCGTGCCGTCGACTAAGCGTGCATCAATCTCAGATAAGCACCGGCTAAGTGTCAGTTGAAGTTTCCGTGCGGTCGCGGTATTAACTAAACTGTGACTAGCTCCTCCGTCGATAAAAATCTTGACTGCTGCTCCCTGTATTTTCCCGTGGATCAGTACTGGGCAATCCGTCGCTGTACCCTCCTTATTCATCCGAGCCCGATCGATAGCGTGGATCGGTACTGTGACTCGGTGAGGGTCGGTGTGGTTGGGCGAGCAGGCAGTCTCGTCAGTAGTCGGCCCAATTCCTACTGACTGCTGGCGTTTCCCTGCCTCTGAGACTCCCTCCCTTGCTCTGCTCCGCGGCGCCTTAGCTCCTCTGGACACTCACTTTTACGATGGCCCGGCCTGTTGCAAGCAAAGCAGCGCCCCTTGAATGGTGCGGCAGCTGCATTCGTCGCAACGGCGTGTACGGTGGCGTGCTCGATCGGTCCTCGAGGACGATGTCCGTAGTAGGACCCCGGTCTCGGACGGCGCAAAATGTCGATTTTCTCGGCGATCGCGAGAATCTCGTTGAAATTCGAGAGTCCGCATAGCATTATTTCCTGCGAGATTTCCGGCTTTAGCCCTCCGACGTAACGGTCCACCCGCTCCGCTTCGTGCATGTAGCCGACCTGCTCGCATAATGCGAGAAAACCACTCGTGTAATCTTGAACCGACCCGAGCTGCCGCCAAGTGCGCAGTTTCTGACGCGCCGAAATAGAAGCCACGATCGGCTCGAAGTGCGCCCGAAGCCCTACGCACCACGCATCTCACGTGCTGTATTGGGCGGTTTCGCAGAATGAAATCCAGTTGACTGCTGGGCCCGCGGGCCCTTCCTCTTGCGACGGTGGCTCGTAGGCGCGTGGCGACGTCACGATGACTCGCCACTAGTCCATAGCGGGGCCCCTCAACAGCGAGACGGCGTATCGTATCTTCGCTGCGTCCGACTCGACGTAGTTCGCGTCAAAAAACACGTTCATCGTGAAGATCCACGACTGAACCGTCGGACCACCACGCTGGCTCGGGTCGAAACAGGGCGGGCGCTGCGGCTTGAGTGGCATCGGCGCCATGATTGCCTGGTCGCCACTTGTTGCCGCAAACTCCACGTGCCGACGGGCTTCACGAGGCTCTCGTGGGCTTGGTGCGGCCCGGTTTCCTCCCATACCAGGCATTGGCTGGGCGGCGCTGTCACTGGCTGCGCCTGAGCGCTGTCCCCCGCTGTCGTGCTGTGTTGGTGTGCCGGACGAGATGACAATCGGCTCGTCTGACTGTGCAGGTGCATTTTGTGACGCTGGAGCATTCGCCGCAGATTGCTGACGCGCGGAGTCACGTTCTGCCGTGAGCGTCGCAATCTCGAGTGCTGAATCTTCAACTTGACGGATCAGACGGTCAAGTTGCTCTTGCGTCAACGTCGCGAGCGTAAATTCAGCCATGGCGGGGGTGTCGGTCAAGCGCAGCGAGAGCCTCTGTCGTGGCCGTGCGTGCTTACGAGAGAGCACTACGAGCGGCGGTGCTTGATCGCTGAGAGACGTCTACCCCCCCCAAAAAATTGAGATAGTGGGGAAACGAAGGTGTGAATGCGGTCCGAGAAGAGATCGTAGGCTCTGAATACCAAGTGTTACGGGTGCAATCGAGTGAGCGAACGAAGATTGCACTATCGAAGCAAGAGTACAATGAGCGAAGGCATGAGCGAAGGATTATATAGCGAAACTACAGTGGTAACGGTAATGGACTGTGGTTTGTCGCGCGACGGGCCTGGGACTGAGGTTGGGAAAAGTGTCGAGGCGGAGGTCCGGAGCGCGGGTTACCGCCGAGCCGTGAGGTCGGGGTGCGACATGCGAAAAATGGCGGGCGGATTATTGATGCGAGTGGTAACGGTGCTGACTGAGGTGCTATAGTGATGTACGCGTTGAGCGGGGATGCGAAGTAAGGAAAAGGAATTTTCCTTACATTCTATATGATGTATCCTTCATATTGATATAGCTTCCGAATTTAGAACGCATCATTGCAAGATGCCTTCTCGCGCACGCGCAGCGTCGATGGGCTGGAAATCCAGTTGGTCAAAGCTAGCCACAACTAATAGCCTGCTTCAATGGCCGACGTGCTGCTGCACCCACACGTTTCCTCCTGGGCGCTGTGTTGACTCTCATGCTGTACCCATTTCTTTTTTCCTATTAGTGGATTGCTTGTGGACAGATTGTGGTGCCACGATTTTCGTGGATGTGAATGAAGACTCGGTAGCCTGCATCACGATTAGTGGCTGCGGTCAGCTCCTACCATTCAGAAATGTAGAAAATAATCCACGTTGGAAAGGTGCAACGAACTCTCTTTTCGCAACAACCTCCCGTCCGCCTGTGGGTTTCGTGAGAAGGTGGTGGAAAGTCCAGCGCTGGCGTGTATCATGATTCGAAGTTAGAAATCTTCGACGGCACGTGGCAGCTGACAGCTCCTGCTGGGGTGGAAGCGATGACCAACCTGGTTGCTTGCCCTCGGTAGATCACCCGAGCCCCTCCTATTGTAACTGCCACGTCAGTATCCACAGACCCCACTGCGTACGGGTGTAGGGTACCATACTGGATACCTACAGTCCTACAGTACAGTGTATGTGCCCTCACCTCGCCTCGCTTCACCCAGTCTGCATGGACACTGAGTGAGTGACCATATGCATGGTGTACATGAAACTGCGCGCAGCACCTATGATTCGAATGGGCTGGACATGACACCTGACCTGACATCAGGTGAGGAACAAATCATACGATGGCATCATGGTGAGGGCAGGGCTCACCCCTGCTCGCGCCGCGGGCGCCTTGAGAGTAGAAACGCTTTTTTCCATCTGAACCATCCATCATGACTTGCGTCAAATGACTATGCAATGTGGGCATGCTGATGCGGCAAGAGTCAGCCAACGGCAAACTGAAGATTTGGCGCGCGTCACGTTGAGCCAAAAGTGAGTTGTGCCATTCGCAAGCCTCCCCCCACGCCACGGCAGCAGACGGAGATGGAGGAGACGGTGGGGCGGAACACAAATGAAGGGAGAATTTTTGCCCCGAAAGAATATGCAAGGAAGAATTGGGCGAAGAGCCTACATGAGTGACCAACAAGCGCTTCTCCCACTGCCAACGCTACACTATTCCGCGCCAACGCAGCAAAACGCGAAACGTCTGGTGTGGGCTGGGCGAACACAACTGGAATGGGGAAAACATACTGAATGAGGGAGTGAAGGGTGTCCTCGTGGTCGTTCTGATTGTGAAGGGATGGATCTTGAGATGGCTGGTGGAAATGCGTGATGTGGTGACGAGCCGTGCGGGGCGGAGCGCGGTGCAGCTGGTTTGGTTGGTAGGCGGCAGCAAATTGGTTGCGTGCTGTGGTGATAAACCAAATGCCAGCTGCTCTCCCAAAATTACCACGCTCAACTGAGCGTTTGAACTGGGAGGAATGATGAAGAAAACATTGGGCGGTCGATAATCATTCCATGTCATGTCGCTCGCTCGCGAGCTGATACTAGAAAATAACAGCAAGCAAGCTTGGTACGGACGGAGCCACGCCCTCAACGAAATTACTCGCGCAATTTCATTGCCAGCTCTCGCAGTAAGGACGTCGATGAGCTTCAGTGACCGCAAGAACTGAGTGCGACGCCCCCATAGACCAGCCTGATCTCTGTTATCACTCTGTATCGCGACCAGACACTTGGCAGGCTCTCTTCGTTAACACATCCTCTTTCGAATCCAAACAAGAGCCGTACCCAGGTCGTAATTCGCTCTACTAGTAATTCACCATGAGTTCCGTTGGCGTCGCCTGCGTACCCGTAGCTGCTGTTTCCGCGCCCCTCTCTGCCACTGTCCGCCCCGCCACCCCCGACGCGCGCGCTGCGAGCGTCGCGTCGCTTTGCTGGTCCAGCAGCAGCCACTCGCTTGTGGAGCCCGGCAACTGCCGCCGCGCGTCGGCAACAGCCTTAGTGCGATCGACGTCGCTAGCTGCGGCACAGTCATGCGCGGCAAGTGCGGCCGGCATCAGGTGCTGCGTCAGCAGCATCGGCGGGGTCATCATCAGCAGCGCGGGGAGCAGCCGCGCACAGAGCGGTAACGCCGCGAGGCTGAGCCGCCATGTCCCCTCGCAACTGGCGCAATCCCAACATTACTCGCCGGCAATCCGTCGCGCCCGCAATGCGAGTCATTTCAATCAAACGAGCGCGTCGCTCGCGTCGAGCGCCGGCGCCGCGGCGGCGGCGGCGTCTCAAACATGCACGTTTGAGTTCACGACTCCATCGAGCCGCCGGCGAGATGAGCGACGACTGGCAGGCGTGAGACCGCCGTCGTCGTCTTCGCCAGTAACATTCCCGGCGGGACTTCGCGTCGTATGCAGCGCGAGCGGTAACACCGCTGCCGCAGCCCGTGCCGCTGACGTGTCGCGAGCCACGTCAGCGGCGCCAGCGTCGTCCACGCTGTCGCTGACGACATTCAACATCCTCGCGCCCATCTACAAGCGGCTCGGCGGCGAGGTAAAGCAGTCTGAAGTGGCGGTCAAGTCGCGCCGCTGCGATCTACAGTCGTCTGTTATTCTTCTTTCCTCGCAGATTACGATTGATTTGATTTCCGCGTCAGTTCTTCTCTCGCCCCGTGTTTCTTCTTCTTCCCCCATTCCTCGTGTGTCCTCGTCGCGCAGGGCGAGCGCGAGAGCGCGTGCGAGCACCTGTGGCGCGATCGCAACCGTCGCATAGTGGACCTGCTGCTGTCGCTGCAGTCGTCCGTGGTGTGCCTGCAGGAGTTCTGGTTCGACGGCGGCGACCTGGAGCGCATGTACGAGTCGCACCTGCAGGCCAGCGGCTATACGCTTTACAAGCTGCCCCGCACTAACGCCCGCGGCGACGGGCTGCTCACCGCCGTACGCACGAGCGCCGGCGCCAGAGGCGCCGTAGCGGAAAGTGCGGCGGAAGCGGCGGCGGGAAGCGAGGTGGTGAGCGTGGTGGACTATGAGCCGATTTTGTTCCACGACTGCGGCGACCGCGTGGCGCAGCTGCTGCGCTTGCGCGTCACGGGCGCAGGGGAGGGGGGGCGCCGGGAAGGGGAGGGACAGGCAGTGGAGAACGGCCGCGGTGATGATGGTGTGTTAGCAGATACAGCAGCAGCAGCAGCTGATGCTGCAGCAGCGGCGGAAGCAGGGCAGCAGCACGAGGTGCTGGTGATAAACACGCACCTGCTATTCCCGCACAACGCCAACTCGAGTGTGATTCGGCTGCGCGAGGTGTACAAGATCCTCGAATACGTGGACGCCTACAAGCACGCGCACGGGCTGCACGCGCTGCCCATCCTGCTCGCCGGGTAAGCCAGACCGTTTTTTTTTGGGCGCTTTGGTCTCTGTGAAGCACGTGGCTTCGTTATGAATGTTAAGCAGGCTACTTTCCGTTCGCATGCCTTCTGATTGTCTTTCCAAGTTGTTTGCGAGGGGGAGGGGAACGCACGAGTCTGAAACACTATGAAGCCTCCTTATTCCTTGCTTGTCAAATCTGTCTCACTCGTCCTCCCTGTCCGTGTGTGTGTGTGTCGGGTGCGTCGTCCTCTTCTCCCCCTTGCAGCGACCTGAACGGCCCTTTGGACGGCGAGGTGTGTCGCTTCCTGCGGTCGCAGGGCTTCGTATCGTGCTATGACAGTGTGCAGAGCGGCGACGACACCGACAGTAATGTATGTGCTGCTGCTTCTGCTGTCTCGCATGCAAACTAACGGCTCCCCTCTGCAACCAATACCATACCTTTAGTAACCAAGATGGGTCTTGCAGCGCAGCATGTCTCACATCTAAGTCTTCTGGTCTCGCCGTGTGTCTGTCTGTGTGTGCGCGTGTGCTCTCGTGAGTGCAGTGGGTGTCGCACCGCAACCACCGGGGCGAGGAGGTGGGGGTGGACTTCGTGTGGCTGCTCAATCCCTCCCAGCAGCTCCATGGCCCGCTTACTGCTGACTGGAAGGCCGCTGTATTTCGCATGATCAAGGTGCGTGCGTGTGTGCGTGTGTGGGTGTGTGGGTGTGTGAGTGTGTGGGTGTGTGTGTGTGTGGGTGTGTGCGTGTGTGCGTGTGCATGCCTCAGAAAACCTCTTGTTGGCGCCTTTTCACCCTCCAATCCTCACACCATTACCCACTAGTATCTCACATCCCTTCACTTACATTCCTCACGAATTAGCTAACTGTGTACCTCTCCCATTCCTGTGTTTGTTTTGTTTCCAGGCGAAGCTGATAGAGGCGGGGATAACAGAGGAGCGGCAGGCGTTCGAGTTTTTCCAGTCAGCCGGCACACACTCAGCCGGTCAGCAGCAGCAGCAGCAGCAGCAGCAGCATGGGGAACAGAATCACCACGACTGCATCACCCCAGAGGAATTTGCATACGCCATGGACGAGGTGAGCTGCGTGACAGTCTGTCTGTGCTCCATCCTCCGCTCCAACTTTCATACCCCTTTTTGCCATCCCATTAACCGTCCCCAACTTCTAGCTCCCTACCTTCCCTCTCCTATCACCATCCTTAGTCTTCTCCTCCCCCTCCACTCCCCCATTCCACCCCCTCCCTCTCTTCCCCGCCACCCTTCCCCCACCCCTCCCGCTCCGTCTCCCTGCCTCAGCTGGGTCTAACGGGCGAGGACAGTGTGGGGCTGACGCGGGAGGAGATTCGTGAGCTGGTGCAGCGGGCGGACACGAGTGGCAGCGGGGCGGTGGACTACAAGGCGTTCAAGCTGCTGCTGCGCACCGAGTCCATGGAGGATACCTTCGCCCGCATCTGCAAGGCCACTGGGATTCACGAGCAGCCGTGGATTCAGCCCAGGCAGCAGCAGCAGGAGCAGCAGCAGCAGCAGCAGCAGCAGCAGCAGCAGCAGCAGCAGCAGCAGCAGCAGCAGCAGCAGCAGCCGTGGCAGATGTGGCAGGGGCAGCAGGATTTGCAGGGGTCGTTTGACGAGGCTGTGGAGCAACAGCAGCATGAGAGCAGGTGTCCACTGAAGCGAGGCGTGCAGGCATTGCAGCAATGCATCACGATGGACGCCCTCTTCCACGACTCAGCTCCCATTGCTGCTGGCAGTCCCCTGTCGCCTGGCAATGCAGCAGCACCCTTTGGAATGCCAGAGCAGCCAGTCTCACAGGTGTCGTCCTCATTCCCCATGTCGCTTGGACGGCATGGGCCTATGGTGCTCGCAGCCGGTGCTGTTGCTGCTGCCTCTGCTGCTACAGTCGCTGCCACAGCTGCTACTGCCGCCAGTGGCGAGAAGAAAGGTCAATGGGAGGAGTGCAGGAGCTGTGCGTGTGACCGTGTGGACTGTGAAGAGTGTGGGTACAACCCCAAGCGACGGGGTCAACAAGGCCAGCAGCAGGAGGAGGAGCTGGAGAGTGGTTTGGAAACGCGTGAGCTGGCGGTGCAAGCTGCAGAGTTGTTCCCGCCGGAGATGCAGCAGGGCACGTGGCCCTCTGACTATGACCTGTCGGACCATGCTGCAGTCACTGCTGTGCTGCGCGTGCTGTGACACAGATGGAGAGAAGGAGCGGTGCTGTACAAGGAGAAGATTTAAGTGCCAGTAACACGGAGAAGGAGCAGTGCAGTAATATGTTTACTGCCGCTCAAAAGTGGGCGCCGTTTGAGCCGGTTCAAGGCGTTTGAGGCAGTTCAAGGAGTTTGAGGCGGTTCAAGACGTTTGAGGCGGTTTAAGACGCTTGACGCGGTTCAATAGCAGCAGGGGTGTGTACGGTACATACTGCGGATGTACGGTGTTAGTAAGGATGCTGTTGCTGTGTGTGTGTGCATAAGTATGGCTTTGTGTGCAGGTGTGTTGGTCGCAATTTTTGGTTTTGTGTATGCATGCATACATGCATACGCCTTGTGTGCTTTGTTTGTGCATTTGTGTATATCGAGTGCTTTGCTTAGCTGCGTCTGGCCAATAGGTGTGTTGTGTTGTCGCGGCTACACCAGGCCCTCAGATTCACTTTTAGGCACGTAAGGGTATCAGGGTCCCTCTGCCTAGAATCCCTGGTCGACAGGGTCGCCTAGAAAAAAAGCCTGAAAGTTCAGTGTTACTAAAAAAAAAAGTCTGATGCATCAGTGTTCACTACAAAAAAAGGCTGATTACTAGTACTGGTAGTCTCTATTATAATTAGAATAGAACACACTAGACTAGAAGAAAGCTAGCAGCCTTCAATCTATCTATCTGTGTATTCTACAAAACCAAAGCCTATCTTGCTAGCTAGCTATGCAAGGCATCAAGTATGACTCTGGGTCTGGGAGAGTTCAGAAATCATCATCAGATGAGGCTTGCTTGTCATCATCATCATCATCTCTTCCCTTAGCCTGTCGTTCTTCCAACTCCTCCTCTAGGGCCTCCTTTCCCTTGCTACCACTGCCCTCCCCCTCGCTTGCTGGTGGTGCTGCCACATTGCCGAATGGGCAGCGCTTCTTGTAGCTGCGCCAGATCTGCACCACCTCATCGTAGTTGGGCTCGTAATCGAGTAGAGACATCGCGATCAGGTCTTCGAGGCGGGCGTCCTTCAAGCTCCCCCGCTACCACGATTTGATAACGTTCTGGCGCGAGAAGCCGCGCTCACACTCCACTGTGCTCAGCGGCAGCACGGCGACAGCCACCCAGAGACGCACCAGATTGGGGTAGCTAGTCGCCCAGTCGCTTGTCTTCAGCATTGCTGTTAGGCCGGCGTGGAAGCTGCGCTCGTTCTTCGGTGCACCTGCGAGGATGGGGCAGAAGGCACGCAGTATCAAAAGCTTAGCTAGACTAAAAAACCATAGCTAGTTGAGTTCGAGTAAGTTGAGTAGAGTCGAGAGAATTGAAAAGAGAAGAAGTGGTTTCACTATAGAGCGAGCAGTACATATAGGCAAAAAGAAAGGTGCACCACCAAATAGAATATTGTATAACTACAGTAGTCTACACTACAGGCAGTTACAAAACAATATATAGTTTTATATATTATTCTGACACGCCCCCATAAGTGCCTGTAGGGAAGAATATGCAGTCAACGCCCCCATAAAGGGGTACACCAAGAGTGCGTAGTAGTACGGGAGAGGGCAGGCAAGGAGGAGGAGAGAGGGAGAGAGAGAGAGAGGGAGAGAGAGGAGAGGAGGTGATAGGCTCTGGTTGGTCACCACCTACATCCCCTCATCCTCCCCCTCCCCCTCCCCATCCCCCTCACACTGCTGCAGGAGCAGCAGAGGGGGGGGGGGGGGGGGGGTAAACGGAGGAGAATGGGGCCGTAGGGCCAGGGGACCACACATCACCCATCACCCCCACACCCGCCACCCCCAGTCCCTCCCCGGGCTCCCCCACACTCCCACACCCTCCCCCCCAGCGGCAGCTGCAGCAGAGGGAACAAAAGGAGGAGGAGAAGAGGGGGGGGGGGGGGGGGCGACGCACGGCCTCCCCGGGCGCCAAAGCAAGCGGCAGAGGGGGCGACGACTGCCCCCCCCTTTCAGCGGGAAGAAGGGGGGGGGGGGTGCACGTGCCCCCGGTGTGCCGTAGCTGGTGACGAGGCATGGCCGGGACGGGGTCGGGACCGCAGGTGTAGGAGACGGGCGGCTCACGGGCGGGCGGGTGGCTCGCGGACGGGCGGCTCAGAGGCGGCGGCTCACGGGCGGGCGGCGCACGGGCGGGCGGCCCACGGGTGGCGCCGGCTCACGGGCGGGCGGCTCACGGGCGGGCGGCGCACGGGCGGGCGGCTCACGGACGGGCGGCGCACGGGCGGCGCCAGCGGCTCACGGGCAGGCTGGTGGCGCACGGGCGGGCGGCTCACGGGCGGCGCCGGCTCACGGTCGGGCTGCGCGCGGGTGGCGTCGGCTCACGGACGGGCGGCGCACAGGCGATCGGCGCACGGGCGGGCCACTGGCGGCTCACGGGCGGCGGCTCACGGGCGGCGGCTTCGCAGACGTCGGCGCACGGGCGGCGAGGCCGCAGTGAAGGGCGGCGAGACCACGACGTAGGGCGGCGGGGCCGCGACAGTAGAGAGGCGGCGAGGCCGCGACAGTAGGGCGGCGGGGCCGCTTAAGAAGGGCGGCGGGGCCGCGAGAGTAGGGCACACCACGGGGCGTGCAGAACACTTAGTAGCAGCGGAAGCAGGAGTCCAGGAGCGTTACGTGCTCTGTACCATATCAAAAGCTTAGCTAGGCTAAAGGAGCCATAGCTAGTTGAGTTCGAGTAAGTTGAGCCATAGCTAGAGAATTGAAAAGAGAAGAAGTGGTTTCACTATAGAGCGAGCAGTACATATAGGCAAAAAGAAAGGTGCACCACCAAATAGAATATTGTATAACTACAGTAGTCTACACTACAGGCAGTTACAAAACAATATATAGTTTTATATATTATTCTGACACGCAGCTCCTTGATCGCACGCCGCTTGTCGATCCCTGCCACATAAGGCAGATGGAAGAGTGAGAGGGGATTAGAATGGCGGGCACATTTGTACACCATACAGTTATAACATGCAAGAAAGCACCTCGTGTACAGAATCAATGCCGGAGCGGGAATACCTGGAATGATGTAGTCGGTGTCCTGTGCCCTGAATAGCGTCACGAGTGACTCGAGCCACTCGAGGCACTGCCTGTGGCGCTCCGCTCTCCCAGGCTCCCACTCGTCAGGCATGAACAGCCGCACTCCCACCAGGGAGTCCAGGTCCTTGAACCGTTTGGTGAGGTTTCGCACGAGCGTCTCGGCAAATGTGGTGCAGAGATCGACGCAGGCGTCGTGAGTGTCGAGGGTTGGGTAATCCTCGCTCGGGTTCTCGTGCAGCTGGAAGGTGTGTGTTGTCGGCCGACCGCCCGAGTCGACCCCCTGCACCTTCACCTCGGGATTGCCCCGCTCAGGCCCGTGCTTCTTGATGAAGGGGGACAGGCGCGCGCTCATTCAGCCTCCGAAGTCGTCACCACAGTCGACGTAACGGGACTCGAGGAATGAGATGGAGCGGCGGATCTGCGCGTGGACACTTGCAATGTCCAGCTGTTAGGGGGCGACAGGGAAAACACAGAGGGTGGAAGGAAGGCAAAATCAGTGTAACGCCGCATTTAGTTGAGATGTACATCAAACCATTAATAAGCACTGACCAAAAGCTGAGGACACAATACATGGTTGCTCGTAACCATGCTCACCTCTCGCTGTTGGAATGCTCTGCTCAGCACATTGAGCTGCTCAAGGACGTCTGCAAGGAAGTACAACAAAAAGTGAAACCTGTAGCTCGTGGCGAGCTCGTACAGTGTGCTGTCCCACTCATACAGCATCACGATCAGCGCGGGGAAGACCTCTACCGCGCGCATAATGGCGTCACCCCTAGAGAGCCAGCACACGTCGTGAATCTCCTGTAGCTCCAGGTTCGTTCTCGTGAAAACTTCTTGCAGCCCCATGAACCTTTGATGCCAAGGGCCAGAACGCCCAAGATGCTCAGCCACTTGGCGGAGCAGCGCATCCACCATCCCGAACTCGGGGAGTGCTTCAGCTGCGTCTTTTGCTGCGATCGCCTCCCTGCGTGCACAACACCAAACAGACCAGCACCTTGAGGCATTAGCGCGGGATGCTCCAGATACTCTAGAGATGCGGAAGACACAAGATACAACATACCTGTGGGCGATGCAGTGGCTCGAGACAAGATGCGGTATGCGGACGCGAAGTCGAGCGACCAGACCGTTGTGTTTCCCCATCATCACACTCGCTCCGTCAGTGCTTATGCCGGATATCCTCGACAGTTCAATGCCAAGGGCCTACTGACAAAATTAGGAGAAAGAAAGAGGATTGAACTAGCAAGAATGAGGATACAAATAGCAAACCCTAGAAGGGTTGTACTCGCTATAGAGCACCCCACTACAGGCTAGAACATAAGATAATATTTTGACACACCCCCATAGCCAAAGTGGGGTGTAATCAGCAGAGCAGGCAAAGCAGTACAAGCTCAGGGTGGATCACAATGTCACCACACAATCTGAGCACAAGTTCAAGAAGAAATAGTTTGGAGTTCACAATTATGAGCAAAGCTAGTGGTAGTCACAACGGGCAAGTGAGGAGGAGGAGAGAGAGTGAGGGGAAAGGAGATAGGAGGCGACGGCTGAAGCTGCAGACACACGGGCAACAGGAGGCAGACTGGCACAGCGGCTACCGGACAGCGCCCGGACTACAGGAGTAACAGGCCCCGCAGCTCAAGTAGCGGCAGACGGGCAACGGACCCACGGGCGGCTGGCGTAGAAGTCTAGCTCACTGGGCTACCGGGACAGCGCCCCGGACTACAGGTGCTGCTGACGACAAACTGGCAACCTCCGCTCATCCTCCCGCACACAGTCCCACCTTCCTGATACACACCCGCTGCTACACCGCTAGCTCCACTCCCACGCACCCCCCTTAAACCCTAAACCCCAGTCTCCCACACAACCACCCCCCTCAGCGACAGCTGCAGCTGTGGGAGACGAAGGAGGAGGAGGAGCAAAGGGAGGAAAGCACACCGGCCACCCCCATACCCGCCACCCCACAGCTGCGGCCCCCGAAGGAGC